CAAGCCATAATAACCCAGGATATTCTCTCCTCACTCCCCCAAAGCTGCCCCATATTCTGTCCTGCTGGTACGCCCTGGTAGGAAGAGGCCCCAGCTTCCCTGGGCTGAATCTCCCACATCTGTGCTTTTGGTTAGAAGGTTTACTGTTTTCCAAAGACCTCTCTGGGAGCTCTTTACTGGAGTTTTCCTGGCTTGTCTACATTCAAGGAACACCCTGGGACACCCGGTTCAGGCAGGCACTTTTCACTTGAATGGGATGGCTCGGGTTTCATTTTTAGAACACCTCAAAACCACCTTGCTAGGACATTCAGTCTCTTATACTGTCTGCCTTTCTGCTGAACCCCAGTCACGTGGGCTCCCACATACTTGCAGCGATGCTGGCGGGGGAGGCAGTAAAGACCTTCCCACTGTCCTTGGTCATGATCAGCAGCTCCATCTCCTTCTTGGCAGGTGCACTGTCTTTCTCCAGGATCAGGAATTTACAGTCCTTGTGCAAGAGGTCATCATTCTGGACGCTTGTGGTACAGGCTAGAGACGAGAGAGGTGGGCGAGAAGGAAGAAAAAGGTGCCAGGCAAAGGGAGAGGGAAGAAGGAAGAGGGGAGGAAAGGAGGGAGATGAGCTGGCATGTCTCCTGCTCTTGCTGACAGTGGTAACTGGGGACCAAAGACAGCATCCCCTGCTGGTGGGGCCTGGCCATCAGGAGGTTGGGTCAATGTCAAAGTGCTGGGCAGGTGGCCTATGGGGCTGTCTCTCCACCTGGACATTACAGGATCTTTAGTAAACGGGCAAAAGTCCCTTTTTGGGCAGGCCTTTCTTTAATTAACTTTGTGGGTTCATTTCTATCCTCAGGTCTCAATTATTACTAGTTTGGGCGGTACTTTTCCTTACCACCCCATCTACCATACACACACTCCCTTCTCTACTACCTCACCTATTTCTTTTCTTCAAATATGTGTCATTTTCTGTTATTATCTCGTACTTTGTCTACTTGTTTACCTGTCTGCACTGGAATTGTCAGCCTGGTGAGAACAGGACTCTAGCATGCTTTGATCATGTCTGTACTTGGGGCACTTAGAACAGTGTGTGTACCCAAAGCAGGTGCTCAGTAAATACTTTTTGAATGAATGAATTGTTAAATGGAAAGAAACGCAGCAGGATCAGAGCAAAGGAAAAAGCCCTCCGTGTGCCACGAGCCCAAGTTGATAAAGATCCTACAGAAAGTAGGGAGGTGATGCAGCTTCTGAGGGGCTCCCTGGCTGCTGTGATGGGTAACGTAACGGGAGCAGGTCAGGGGCTTCCACAGGAAGGTGGGGGCTGGGTGTATGTGCCTGGCCCTATGTAGTGTGCACGGTCGAGCTTCCTGCTTCCCTTGGACAGGAAGGCCAAGGTAAGGTCAGGGACACGCTCTCTCTGCTCAGTCATGGAGACAACCATGAGGTCATTGGGGTGAGTTGCATTTGCAACCTTAGACCACCAGGGGGTTATATCTCCCCCTCCCACATGCTATGGGTCACCCAGGAGCAATTCTCCCTCTGCACCCCCCTGACTTCTGCAGCTGGGGACAGCACTCACGCTGAGAGGTGGACACGCCAGTGCTCACAACGGTAGGGCTCTGGGGCATGTTTTTCTTCACACCATATGCTGCAAGAAAGGAACCACTAAGTGAGCAGGGCCAGCATGGGAGGGTGGCTTCATGAAGCTTAGCAGCAGCCTGACCAGCCCTGGTAGACAGGCAGCCTCCTCCAGCAAGAGGAAATTGATAATAATGAATCATCATCATAATGAATAATGAAATCAACTCCAGTCATGTGTGCAGCAATGAGTTTAGATAGAA